GGCACAGACTTGCTCTTTTGCTGGCAATCTGTGTAAGAGAAAGCAAGGATTGATCAAATAAGTTACTGTAGTATCCTGAGAAATGTGAAACTTTCTAATAAGGAAGATAGCTGGAAAGATTGTTTTCAGCTTTCACTGCTTGTAGCATACTCACATATTATCACTGAAGTGAGAAATTGTTAAAAAACTAAATGTGAAAGCTTGGAAGAATATGTTAGAAGGATCTGAAACGAACTTAATCTGCTTTGTGGGAGGTGCTGGGTTTTGGTGTTTTGTTGTGGGTTTTTGTTTTTTGGTGTTTTTTTTTTTTCTTGTTGATTGAAATACTTCAATAGGAAAATCATCACTACAGTTCAAATGTTTGGTGACATGAAGTGTTATGATTATGCTTTCTACTCCACATCCCTGTCCTGTTTCTCCATTTTATGGGCTGGAAAGTATGCCATGGGGTAATAAAACTAACTTCTTGAGATCTCATAGCACATCTGTGTCGGGATCCTGTTTCATCTGTCATTATTCTTTTCTCTTTAAAGTCTAGAGGTACCTGGATACATAGAAATAGGCTCTAAAATTACCAAGGGTGTCAAAACTTCCATCCTTCCTTCCTGCCAAGTGACAGCTCTGTGCTTTCCCTTGCCTTTACACATCCTGGATGTCCCAAGCTGGGGCTGTGAAGGCTGTAGATGATGTGCGAGAGGCTTGGATTTTGTGTTCTTATCCCTTCCTCATTAGAAAGTGATCCCACAAAGTGCCAAGTGTGTTTCTCAGGGGAGGACAGTTCTCCATGTGCCTTGATTTCTTCCATCTCTCCTCTTCTGTATTGTTCTAGCAGGTGGAATTGTATGCCTCAGTGATTTTGCTCTCATTAACTGGAGTCTTAATCCAATAGCCTAATATGAAAACATTAATGATGGACTGTGGGAGCTGCCAAGAAGTGCCCCAGAGAGGACATGAGTTTTGAGTTACCAGTTGTGTAGCAGAAGCTGGGTGTGGGGTTTTCAATGGTGGAAATGCTTTCAGGAAAATCAGTTGAGGGTTTGACTTAGAGCTGTCATGGTAGATGGGAGCACAGGCTGAAGTTGTAGTAGACACTGCTTGACCTTTCTCTGCTTCCCATCAGGAAAGATCTGAGAATAAAAAGATCAAACATATGCTTGGACCAGGCAGTATTTTTCTACCAGAAAGGAGATGGTTGGTCAGGAGAGACTTGCTCAAAGGAGACTCTTGAAGACTCCAGCTTGCTAGCATTGGGCCTGTTGTCCTCTTTCTGCTGCTGTACCCTGCTCTCCCTTGTCCTTCAGACACATCCTTCAGCTCCTCCCTTGGCAGGTGTTCCCTGGTCACCCCACATCTGTAGCTCCTCATCCCTCTCTCCCCTGCACCCAGGGCAGAGCAGGCACCAGGAGAAATGTTCACTCTGTGAGTTCAGCCATCTGTCCAGGAGGCACAGGTTCGATTTCTGGGCCAAGCAGCACATACGGTGTCTCTGCTTCTGGCAGCTCCAAGACGTTGTCCTGTGGGCTGCGCGCTGCTCACTGTCTGCTGTTGATTAGATAGGTTTGATGTCTCTCTCATTCGCAGCCGGTAGTGTATCACTTTTTCCAAAGTAACAGGCCCTTGTGGAAAGAATGGTCTTCAGTCCTTCTCAGCCAGAGGAGTTTTGGCCAAATGTGGCTGGTTGGTTAATAAGACCTTCTTCATGGTCCAGGGAGCCTAATGCAAGGCTGGTGATGCAGCAGGAGTAGAATGGTTCCATTATGCAAATGGCATGAATTTGGGTGAATTAGTAGGTTTTTGAGGGCATTTCCAAGAACTATGGGTGGCACCTTTTCAAAACATTCCCGTTAATGTGATGAGGTCAGTAGAAGTAGTGTGCTGTCAATAAAAGGCCCCATTTTGAAGCTTTTTCCTCCCTGCACCCATCCCCTCCAGCATCATTTGTTTACAAAGGTCATGCTTAAGGACTTTATTTGGTTACTCCCAACTGAATATTTTGTTTGGGATGTGGATTTGTGCTTTGTTTGAATGTTTGTTAGTGGAAGCAGAGAGACAGGAGGAAAAGGATGAAGAGGTTTCCTCGGCTGTGAGTTGATGTAGTATTTTGCAGGGTACCTTGTGTCTCTTGCCAGGTCTGTGCTCTTTTCTGCTTTGGGGAGTTTGGAGAGTTTAGGGTACTTCTCAGTTTTACAGAGTTAGTTGTGTTTTTTTTTCTCCCAAGGTGACAGTTGGCAACTGAGGACACCTGGGAACACCAGTTGCAAACTGAGAAAATGTAAAATAAATTCTGTCTCAAGGAAATGTTGTGCTGTGGTACAGCATGGTCTGGAGGCAGGGCTGGTGGCGTGTGCGCAGGGTATGTGGGATGCTGGAAGCAAACGCTTCTGGTGATGTATCCCTTCTGCTTTGGTGGGCTTATGCTTTGGTATGACGGAGAAGTCGATACAAGTTTCTTCTCTGGTAAATAGCTTTCTCTGAGCTTGCTAGTTTATGGGTTGGGTTCTCGTCTATATTTTCCTACTGTAGAACCACAGTGAGGGTCAGCCCCGCTATTTATAGCGTGGTGTGCTAGTGCTAGCATTGTTATCTCCTTTTTACAGGCTTAAAATCAAGTGACTTAGATTTGCTCTTTGGTAACGTCTGCATCTGTGAGTATAGGAGCATGGGGAAAACAGATTAACAGGAAATAAAATTGCAGTGTTATTTTATGCTACCAGGAATACAAGATGTGCAAAGGATAAATATCCTGTTGCTTGCCAGTGCTAGAGTGTGCTCATTCTACCTTAAGTAAAGGTTAATCCATTTCAAGCCTGGGTTAATGCTACGCTATCCTGACACTCCGAAACGATCAGAAGGCGGGTTTTTACTCTATTAGGTCATTTCTTGAAATAACTTAATCACAGATGCCAGTGTGTAGTTAGCAGTTGCTCTGTTTGATTTGGGTGTGTCAGCATGCTGTAGGTTTTGCTCTCGGATACCTGTTTTATATTTATCTTTTCCCACCATCTAGGGAGAAAGAGAGTTTAATATTATACAATAGACTTAATAGGGAGAGCAGTACTTGCTTCTCCCAGCTTTTGGAGAGGTGTCCAATATGGGGTACATAATTGTGTAAAGAATAAAACCCCTTAATTGTTAGTAAAGACTAAGAGTTGACAGCTCTCATCTTTCTATAGTAGAAAATTGAAGAGGATAAAAGATTGATTAAAAAATAGAAATATTGACATCATCTTAAAGCAGCTGTAGTGCTATTAAAACCTCTTTGTATATGTATAGAGAGATACATTTTTATTCTCAGAACTCTGGCATCTCGCACACTCCAAAATACACAACTAAAATAATATCTACGTAATGCTATGAAACGCCTTTATTTGTGACACAGCAGCTGTGTTTCTGGCAACAAATATCTTATTGTCGCACCAAATCTAATTAAAAATCCACAAGATAAAATGCCATCCTCACAGAGGGTAGCAGGCAAATCCAAAACAAAAAACCCACAGCAGAGTTAAGCAGTCTTCCTGTCCTGATGTGGATGTACAAATATTCTTCTGTATGAAGCTTTTAATCGCTTCACCTTAAAAGGTATTAGGATCCGCTTGAAGATCATAAGCCTAATTTGGGATTTGTCTTCCTCAAAATCCCCTGGTGAAATAGAAGGATCATGTAAATAATCAGAAGGAATTGTATGTACTTCTGCGTAATTTTCCAAAACCAACCCCAAAACAACCCGAACAACTGAGCATGGGACTGAGATGCTGCTGTTCATGGTTCCCCTTCATTGGCTCTCCTAAAGCGTCTCAACCCACTTCCCAGGTAGGGCATGAGTCCTAGGACAAACTGTGCTTTAGTTTGTTTGTTTGTTTTGATCTCCCCTGTCTTCCCTAGACCAGCTGCAAGGGACTCAGGACTGGCCTAAGATGTCTTTTCCCAGCATTAAAAGCATTGCTCTAGTACATCCAAGTTCTTTGTGTTCAAGATGAAAGCTATCGAAGAGAGCAGCCTTTCTTCTTTCCTCTTTCTTCCTGGTTTTTAAGTGCTCAGTGACCACATGCTCTGACCTATAAGTACTTTATCTACATGGGTAATGTGTTTACAGCTGCCTAAGAAGATTTCCCCCCTAAATTTGAGAATCCAAATACAGGGAGCTCTGTAACAAACAGCTGCTACAGAAAACACTCACTTCATCGGTGGCATGGCACAGTAGTGGTCGGAAAGGAAACAAACGGAAAGACTGGTTGCCTAATAGCCTTGTGATGGGGAAGGGTTTTCTATTCTTGGTGGTTGGTTGTTGCTTTAAAAAACCAACCAAACAAAAAAACCACAACAGAACTTTTCCATTTGAAATATGGCAATTCCATTATTTAATTTTCATGTGATGGTTTCTAGAAATCTCCCCAACTGTCTACATGTAATTTGGTTGAGCAGCTTTAAAATTCAAAGATATTTGATGGCTATCTTCTTTCCTTGAAATAGCTTCACCTCTGGATGGGTTAGGAGTTTTGTCCACTTACTTTTCATTTTACCCTGTCCTTTTGGTAGCACCTAGAGTTTTTGGAGTCTGAAATGTTCATAGAGCTGTGACATGTCCAGCTGCAGGAGCTGCCTGGTCCTCCTCTCACTTCCCCCTTTTCCTTTCCATGCTCTGCCACCTCTTCCCTCCCCCAGGCTGGGCTCAAGTCCACCGGAGGTACATTTTCCTCATTTGTGGACAAGCGCTGCCGGGTGAGCTGCCTGTAGCCTGCATAGTTCTTTGCTATGATTCACCCTTTGTTTTGCCAACTTGTTATTTTTTTAGAGAGTGGGTAGTAAGTCCTCCTGCTATCTTGGGATAGTTTTATAATACAGTTTTTTAATGGAGTTTCTAATATCTTAAGAACAGTGCCTTTCGTGTGAATTCTATAGTGTCTAAGAATTTGGAGATGGAGAGTGGGAAAGAGGTGTATATATATTTTTTTTAATCATTTTTTTTCAAGTAAGTAATGATTTGACATGCTCTGTTTCAGTACATGTTACCATGGCAATGACTGCAGGGACTACAACATCCTTTCCCATGAGTAACCACACCCGGGAGAGAGTGACGGTGGCCAAACTTACGCTGGAGAACTTCTACAGCAACCTAATTATACAGCATGAAGAGAGAGAAACCAGGTACTGGCTCTGCTTCCTCTTGCCCCTCTTCAGCTATTCTTGGTTGGCTTTTGGCAGTGTTTGTTCAAGGGCATTTTGATCCCCATGCATGGGGCAGTTCTCAGAATTTTTTCTCTCTGTACTTGGTAGCAAGGAGCTAATCCCTGAAGGGCACAGGCTACCTTTCAGCTGCTGGCTGTGCTGGTAGACCTGTGAACATCCCCTGCTACTGCACCAAGCAGTCACTGAGTGACCAAGGACCTCCACTTCCGATGTTCTCATACAATTTACCTCCTCATCAGATTATTACCACTTTGCGGAAACCACTCTGTGCAGGGTCTTATTTTGCAGCATGTGTGAGGTTTCTACTTCTGCGTGTGGGATTGGTGACCTCCGATTCCTCTGCGTGTGCCACAGGGAATAAACTCTACAGAGGTAGATGCTGCAGAGCTGTTGATGGGTGGTAACTTGGTTTTCTGTCAGGCAGTGGTTCGTGGTGTCTATTCATGCTCTGCAGCATGGAGCTTATGCCAAGACTCATAAACCCTGCAGAAGGGAGTGTATAGGACTGACAAGAAAGGTGTTTGACAGGGTGATGGGGAAAGGAAAGGAGGCAGAGAGCTGAGGGTGGCCTGGTGCGAAAATAAGGGGCAGTAAAGAGTATAGGGTTGGTGGCTCTTGGGTGGGCAGGAAGAATTTGGGGGATAATGTAATACCCACCTCTAAATTTTTCTTGGGTGGTGTTGACTGGTACTCTGTGTGTTGGTCATCTTCACTTTAACTTCTCTTGTCATTGCCCATTCTGCCTCTGATGTGGTGAAGTGCTACTTGAATCAAGTGTCAAAGCACCAAGCATTTGATTATAATGAATTTTGTGTTTCAAATTGTCATCAGCATGTGAAATTATCATTCCCCTGGTAATATGTTTTTAATTGAGGGGTTTTCAGCCAAGCAGCAGGGTTTCTCTCTTCATATTTAGTCATTATCCCATGTAATTGAGTTGCTTCTAGTTAGGAGAATAGACTGTCTACTGAGGGCCTTTAATTTAGGGGATCCTGCTGTATTTCCCAAAGTGCAGAAAGATACTAGCAGCCTGGCACCCAGCCTTCAAACTCTTGGCTGCTGCTAGCAGGTAACCAGTTGTCTGAAAGTTGCACCCTGACAGTCGTAAAGAAGCATCCCGCAGGTGGAAGAAGAGTGGTCCAATAGACAACATTGCCAAGTGCTGACCCCCTGCCATCTCTGGGGTACTCCCAGGCTTCACTCCCTGCTCAGACCCTCCCAGCCTGGCATGGCACCAGCTGAAGTAGCTCCTGGAACCGTGAGCCCTGGTCCAGCCAGGACACTGGGAGGAGATGATGATGAATCCGGGGGGTAGAGTTAGTTGGCCCAAGAGTAAGGGGAGTAGGACCAGGTGTGTGACCAGAGAGAGGTCAGCAAGGCTGGGGTGGGAGTGAAAGCTGGAGCTGGCTGAGGCATTGGAGGTAGAGCTGAAATAGAAATGGTGAAAAAGACATGTTTATTCTGATTCATAATCCTAATTTATAAAAACAGCCTTACTTCAACAAGATTATATGAAGAAATATAAATCATTAGAATGATTATATGTTTGGACTTTTAATGCCTAATTCTGCAAATACATAAATATGTGCTTAAATTTGCTTATACATTTTCAACAGCTTTGGTCACAAATGAGTAAATGGATGGAGTGGGCAGTAAGTCTTCAAATTTCCATTTGAGGCAAATTCTTTCGTGTCTGGAATATGTGAAGTAAAGGCATTGTCTTGCTGTAGCATTATGTTTGTTTTTAATAAATAATAAAAAAAGCAATCTCCTGTTTCTCCACTTTGCAGGCAGAAGAAGCTAGAAGTGGCTATGGAAGAGGAAGGCCTTGCAGATGAGGAGGTAATTACTACTTAAGTAACCTTTGAAGAGACTGCTTTGCTTTTGTCACACTACTTCAAATCGGCATTACAGAAACATTAGCTAATTAAGTTTTATTTTGTAAATGAATGTTGCCCCTGTAAATAAGTTGTTTGTTAGGGAAGGTGTGAATATGCTTGAATGATACTTGCAATAGCTAAGGCTTTTCATGCCACCCTTAGTCCTTATAGAATCATAGAATCGTTTAGGTTGGAAAAAACCTTCAAGATCATTGAGTCCAACCATCAGCTATGCCCACTAAACCATGTAAAAAAGTGCCTTGTCTATGTGCTTTTTGAGTACCTCCAGGGATGGTGACTCAACCACTTCCCTGGGCAGCCTGTTCCAATTCCTGACAAATGTCTTATGAGACATATGGCTGCAGCAAGTGTATAGCATGCTTTTCAAAGATTAAAATTGTTTGCTGTTGTATTTAGCAAGAAAAAAAGGTGAGATGCGCTTAGAAGAGGTGAGTAGAAAGCAAAATGCTGAACCATTTTTTCTTGATTGAAACAATAAACTGGGCACACGCTTGCTCCATTTGGATACGGATGAGGAGGAATCTCTGTCTGGTTGGTATCTCTCAGAACTTTGGTCAGTAAGTTCCTTTTCTGAGGTCCATCATCCATGGCTGCCTGTACTGCCTTCAGGATAGGCAGGGAAATAAGTAGGAATAGTGCCTCAGTTGTTTCTGGGTTTGTGCGGCTGCCGTAGCTTCTGGGAAGAGGGAAAAGCGAGTGTGGGTGCGTAATGCCATCTTGTGGTTTTAAATGATGCTGCCATCCTAGTACAAAATCTGGCAGGTGCCTGATTGATGGATCTGGTTAGCAGTCTCTGAGATCTTCTCGGCAACTTTGGGAGCATAGCTTGGTGTTTGTCTTCTCTCAGAGTGAAACCCACTGACATTTCTATAGAACAAAATATATGACAGGATTTGGACCTATTTTTCTTTCAAATGTGATGTTTGCCTGCCATAAATGAAATGGATTTTGCTATAGATGGTGTGAGTTGGATCTCTGCTGCCTGTTAGGGTCCTTGTTGCCTCTCATCACTTTTCAGTGGGGTGCAAGTTTCAGTTTTTATTGGTCCTTTGTAATGCCCCAAAACAAGAGTCCTTGCCTCAGCTAGTGACTTTGGTCTTTGGACTGATGTACTTTGTTTGAACCAATATGATATTTTTTTTTTTCTCTTCATTATTTTTTATTACTGTTTCTTTATATCCAAGTAATACAAAAAATAAAACAACCCCTCCAAAAAAAGTGAAAATGGGCCTGAGGTCTCTATATAGAAGACAGTGCTCATGGATGATTCTTTGAGAAATGCAGAAAGACTTCTCCTTTTACATTTTCTCTGTAATCCTAATGGGAGAGAGAATACTTCACAGGAAGGGAGATTGTATATCTTGATTTTTTACTGTCAAATGACTTATAAATTTCTGTGTATGTGTGTCCTTAGAAAAAACTGCGCAGGTCACAACATGCTCGCAAAGAAACAGAGTTTCTGCGACTGAAGAGGACTAGACTTGGCTTGGATGACTTTGAATCTTTGAAAGTTATAGGAAGAGGAGCATTTGGGGAGGTTTGTGGCATTCTTGCTTGAACAGGATGTTAAAATTTGATTCAACATTAAAATGAAACATTTTAGTTGCAGAATAAAAAGTTACAGTTGGGGGGTTTTATTGCGGAAGAATAGCTATTTGAGTAATTGTGCAAGTGTAATAAGTCCAGTAATGAATTACGTGCAATGATTTCTCAAGGCTCCTGGAAAGGCCCTTAGTTTCCCACAGCTTCCCAAACTGGCCCAAACTGATGTTGCCCATGTGGCCCCCTGAAATGATGGACTTGCAGTGGCACAGCTCCTGTCTGTAAACATCCTCCCTGCCCTGTGTCATATCACAGTTGTATCTGCTCCTGAATTGTAGCATACGCAATCTCATGGCTACCTGGAATTTACTGTGCCTGCTAACTTTTCCTAAAACAATAACTACTTCAAATTGTCTGTTCATCACTAGTGTTAGTGTTATACACGGTGTAGAAATATTTCTTTTTTCCATGTGTTTTTAAATGTTTAACAAAAGAACTTTTCCATGTCCAGCAATTTTGAGCCTTCTGGTAGATTCCACACTGGGGTCTAGTTTCTGAGGTAGAGAAGACTGATTGGGTTATATTTCTCATTATAGGTACGCCTCGTTCAGAAGAAGGATACGGGTCATATTTATGCAATGAAGATACTAAGGAAAGCTGATATGCTGGAGAAAGAGCAGGTTTGTGTTGTATCAGTCCCCTAGATTTCAAACTTACACTGTCTAGAATGTTGCCAAAGTTCTTTGTGGCAGATACTATTTGGTCATATTTTCCACTTCGAAAGCCCCAGTAATGGTATAGCAATCCAAAGCATCTATGGAGTTGCTACCACCATACAAAAGAATAAGTAGAAGTTAGGAAATAAGGTCATGTAAACAGGATTTTCAAAAATGTTTTATTTACAACCAATTTGGAATAGTGACAAGGACTTTTTTTTTCCCCTCCCTTCGTTTATCGATGCAGACCTTATAGTACTTAATCTGTAAAAGTGCATTTCAAGGAAAATGCTTTTTGAAAAGTAATACTGTGCCAAAGTAAATACTGAGAGTATTTGTTTTCTTTTGATGGTTAGATACTAACAGATGTCACGTTGTTCATTGGCTTTGTTTTCCTTTGTTTTGCTTTTTAGTTGGGTCTTGTTTTGTTTTGCTTTGGTTTTGTTAGTTTAGTTTTGGTTTTGCTTTTACTTTTTAGTTAGCAATTCACTGCATATTCTTGGTAGAATACAGCAAGTACTTTAGCACCACAAAGCAAAGAAATTGAGTGTGGATGTCTCAAGCAAAAGGGCAGATAAAAGAGGACTTCTCCTAACCAGTCCAAACCTTACCCATCATTTGCTCTTGTATTACATTTCCCTGCAGTGGTACTTGTACTTCATTTTTTTTCCTGGCACAGACTTTTTGTCTTCTCAAGCCCATGCCCTGAATATAGGGAACCAGAGGAGCAGCATGTTCTGCACAGCAGCCAGGATGCGTGTGGCCCTCTGGTTGAATCCCTGCCCCCATTTCATAACATGATGTGGCAAAGAGGCTGAGCTCACACTCTCCATTTAGTTTGGGATGGTATTCTTCCCTGGAGAGTGTTTATCTGCTGTAATTTTCATTGCCTGGTTAGTTCAATGGAAAGCAACACAGGACACAAATACAAGAAAATTAAGATTCCCCCCCCCCAAGCCTGATAGCACTGGAAGATATTCTGGCTGTTTTTTAAGCAAGGTTTTAATATTATATTTTATAGCTACATTGAGGAGTGGAGGGTGGAAAGAAATATTTTCTAATGAGAATAGATAGAGCTAGGTAAATCAACGTTCGAGTGCCTACTACAGAGAGGGAACTCATTGCCCTGTGAAACCCTGTGAAAAGAACACATACATATAAAGATGCTTCTGGCTAGTTGAACTGGAGATGGGATGCAGAAGACTGCTGCTTATTGGAAATAGTCCTTGAAGCTGGAATAGTGGTACATATTTTCTCTCCAGAAGTTGCTTTCTGTTGTATGAATAATGAAAACCTTACAGCTGTCAAGAAGTATTTTTCCATGCATGTGTCTTTCATTTTCCTTCAGGATGAGGGTACATTCTATTGAAACACACCCCCCTCCTCCAATCTCCATCATTCTTAGTTTGCAGTGAATTCATGGGGTAGCAGCTCTCCATATGTTTTTCAAAGCCTCAGCTGGGACTGGAATATCCTGAGCAAGGTCAGATATTCCCAAACTCACTTGCCCAGGACCAACATCAGCAGCAGTGGTGGCCATATCTATTCTGGGCCAGCTTCATGGACATCACTTGGAGCAATGGCTCCATCTTCTCTTCCCTTTCCCCCCCTTAAATAGCCCAAGACCCTGACCGTTTTTGCACTGTTCTAATACTAGCCACTGAGCTCATTGCTACCTGCCGTCATCTGTAAGGGCTGAAATTCATCCTAGCTCTTTTCCCACTTGGCCAAGGCACTTGCCATGCAGTTCAAGTAAGGTTTGCCACGTATGCGTGTAGGAACAGTCTCCATGTACCATCTGGAAGAGGTTCATGCACCATCAGCAGTGTGTACAATGTGGGTTTGGGAACCAGACAGTAGTTCACTGTAAGCCAGACATTTCTCTCTTCACAGTGATGAAGGAATCGGGTTTTGCAGGAAGTAATTCATTTAGACACTGTGTGACCCTTGCTAGAGAAGATTCATGAGGCTTATCTTGCCAAGTTTAAACAGTGAGATATCTGTGTAGAAGTAGCTATTAGCTCTTTGTTTCTTTGTATACATATATGAGAAATCTGGTAACTTCTGACAGTAATCATAATGCATCTACCATTTTACATCTTGGTTCTTACATTCTTTAAGACCAGCTCTGGCCTTTTCCAATAATTTTGTCAGTATTTGCACCTTGAGTTGCACGATAAACTTTTGTCTGAGCTTGCAGTAGGGACACTACCATATAAAACTCTGTGATGATCAGCTCTGATTTTTTGGAATGTTCCTATTTCATTTTAGGGCATAGTAAAGAAGGGAATTGCACTTTTCCACCAGCTTCATTAGTTCCAACAAACAAAACCAGCTTAACAAGCTATGCTTTGTGTTTCTAGAGATTGCTTCTGCAAAGTTGTGTGAATGGTTATTTTCAACATTGAGTTGACTTCTGTGGGTTTCTGGTGGGTATTTTGTGAGTACTTTGTAGTATCTAGTAAAAACTTATGAAAAATATGAGTATGAAAAGAACATGAAAAATAGTTTCTTTGCTAAAGATCATGAAAATATATTGTAGGACTAGGAATATAATATGGTGTTGCTTGTTGATATATTTAAATTGTCCTTTAATAACAGTAATGTTTTAAAAATTTAGGTGGCCCATATCCGAGCAGAAAGAGATATTTTGGTGGAAGCGGATGGAGCCTGGGTAGTGAAAATGTTTTACAGCTTTCAGGATAAAAGAAATCTTTACCTGATCATGGAGTTCTTACCTGGAGGTAAGCTGCATGTTGTAGTGTTAGGTGATACAAGTACTTCTTCCTTAGCTTTTGTTGTCAGCTTCATAAAATGTTAGAAACATGCACGCTCTGTAACTCGTGATAATAAAAATTTTAACGTTGTTTTAAATGAAGTCCCAGTAATCTAACCATTCCTGACTTTTAGGGGAAGGAGAAGGGTTATGAAGGGGTGTCAAAATAGACTTGGATTAAATAATTATTCTAATCCAACATTCTGATTTTTACTGCTGAAGCTATTAACAGTGAAAACAACAACAAAAAAGTTCTTGTTTAAACAGTTTATTTGTGCGATACATGTATTATGTGTTAAAATTCACTATATCTTCCTGGACTATACAATTAAAGTTCCTATTAGGATTTTCAACAGTTTACATCCAGTTTACTAAAAAAGTATGTTGGGTTTGTAGGTCCCTGCAGTAATAGTTTTATAATTAGTAGCTGTAAGGCCAGTTACAAGGTTAAATTTGGATTCTACTGGGGTTTCATAGAGAATTAGTCTGGTGGTTAAAATGTTCTGATTTCTGAGCTGTATTTTCTTCTCTTTGATTAGGTGACATGATGACCTTACTAATGAAGAAAGACACCTTATCAGAAGAGGAGACACAGTTTTACATTTCTGAAACTGTGTTGGCCATAGATGCTATTCACCAGCTGGGATTCATCCACAGAGATATTAAACCAGATAACCTTTTGCTGGATGCTAAGGCATGTAATGTGCATGTTAAACTGCCTCTGCTTTAAACAACTCATTCTGCAGATAATACCATTTATAGTGGTGCTAATTGGTGGGAACCAGTAGAGCTGCACCAGTGATTTAAACTAGCTGGAGTAAAGGCAGAAAATGGTCACTATCTTTTTCTTGTAGAACACCAATATACTTAAAGCAAAACTGCACTTGTTTTTTGTTGGAAAGCCTTTTAACCCTTTTAAGGCTAGCCTTTTAAGTGAGAAGGGTGTCCAGGTGCTCGTATTCATACACATTAAAAACATACACTTAGTTACTGCAAGACGAATGAAAGCATGAAATATTCAGGCAGTGTTAAATAATCAGTTCAATTCCTACAGTTACCTCATTTGTTTTATTACCTGCTCACCAGCAGAAACACTCTGTCTGTTAAGACTGACTATAGGGAGCCATGAAATGGATCCAGTAAGCATCATACCCAAGTCTTTAGACTATCTAGCATTGATGTCTGGAAACCTGATTAAAGCCTGGTTACCATCAAAGCAAAACAAAATAATTTTGTCCTGGAGGCTTTCTCAGTCTGTGTTATCCAGTTCAAAACAAGAACAGGCAAACCAGCCGCCCTCAGCTGTTGCAGAATTGTAGGTTTAACCATTCCCAGGGGCAATAACCTGTTGGAGAGAAAACACACTCTCACAGTACACCAAGATTCAGTCATTATTTGCCTACTTGTCCTGGATTAGGTAATCCTGTGCTAGTCCATCATGGCCTGAGAAGGCACAAGGAGTTATTAAAACTTTCTTTTTCGAGCACTACCTTTATAAAGTATGTTTTCATCTTCTCTGATTTTTTTTTTTTTTTTTTTTTTTAGGGTCATGTAAAACTGTCTGATTTTGGGCTATGCACAGGTTTAAAGAAAGCTCACAGAACAGAGTTCTATAGGAACCTTACACACAACCCACCAAGTGACTTCTGTAAGTATAAGGTGTCCTAGTTAAACATTTAAATAGTTTTGAGTTGCAGCTTTGCCACATCATAATTTATTTCTGCTGGGATAAACAAGATTGGTCAGGCTGATTGCATTTAATTGGAAAACTGGAAATGCATGTTCCCTGGGACATGGAAGCATTTCACAGGAAAGAAATTATGATTTCTGCAGTGATAATGTATTTTTGCACATTTGTATGCAGATACACATACACATAATGTAATGTGTCTGTATTTTAATGTATTTTTCATAACAATGTTAGCGAAGTTACAGAAACACTCTTGCAGAAGGGACATGGGTTTCATGTGCCAGCTTTCTGAAGTCAGTGATAATCTCATGCAGCTTTTCATAAGAGTAAAGTTGTTCATCAGCATGCCTTGGTGACACATCCTCATCAGTGTTTTATTCTACAAATGTAAAATTCCTCTGCAGTTCTTCTTGGATTCTTCTTGTTGCTTAAAAAAACATCGCCCGTATCTGAATATACGTTGCCAGCTGCAACAATAAGTGCTGCTGATCTCAGATCAATCTGTAAAACTTTTAGCAAGTTCTAAATTAGAATTGCTGATCATGTGTCCTACTTGTATGAGTTTCAGCTGCAAACTGGACACTAGTTATTCATTTTCATTTTCCCATCTCTAGTTATAACTAAATATTTGTTTCTAGACTAAAGCATTCTAAAGATACAAAATAGTTATTCTTTCAAAAGAGAATGTTATCAATCTTTTCTTTTAATTCTCACAAATGCATTTATTATCTAATAACTATTTTGTAAATTAGCATTTCAGAATATGAACTCAAAGAGGAAAGCAGAAACATGGAAGAAGAACAGGCGACAGCTGGTGAGTTAATGAAATTATACATAATTTATTTTTCTTTGAAACTATTTACAGAAAACATTAAATAAAAACTCAGCATTAATGCTGCTGGTTTTTAAAATCTGAAAGGTCCTCATCCATCACAGATGTCACTCTCTTCAAGCTCCTAAAATTGCAGATAACTCAAAAGAAGGTGGTTTAGTGATTCCAGTTGTGGAATAGCTCAGAGATCAGGGTTGCTTTGTCTGTCTGTTTTCTTGAGTATCTTGAGATTGTCTCCTAGACTGAGCTGGTATTGACACTGTGTGTGAACTCCTGGGTTTAATTCCTGCAGTTCAGTGTCGCAAGAAGGTGCGTAGCTTTGTGGTTCTTTTTCAGAGAATTGTGGGGAAAACTTCTTTGTCCTTCTGCTGAATGGGGGTATGATGGAAAGGCAGTGGAGTGTATTGGCACTGGAGTGCTGCAGCCTGGGTTTATAATGAAGAGTGGTCAAGTAATAAAGGGAGCTGTGGCATTAACTGAATCAAAGGAAAGTATCTGTCAGCCATGGGATTTCAGAATTTCAGCCCTGCTCCTGATTTTCACCAAATAGCAGTTGTAAAAACCTCAGTTTTCAAATTTTGGAACTTTTTATTTGCACACTCTGTTTAAAAAGTGATATGCTGCAGTATTCCGAAAAGCTTTTGGGTTGTTTTTTCTTTCCTCATGAGACATAATGAGATTACATTGCAATCATGTCACCTCAGGGGCTATATTTCACACCCTTACTCCCACTTGGAGTTAGATTCCTGAAAAGACTACATCTCCAGGTCAGTAAAGACTGATGTGGCAGAACTGTGGGGTGAAGCTATATGAATCACGAGACAGTCCAACAGAGAGAATAAAAGGCCAAAATGACACTTGTATCAACACTATTTGAAAAGGAGCCATATTCTTGGTTTTCCATTGGTTCAAAACTTTGGTTCTGTCCAATGAAATGAAGTCTTTTGTTTCTGGTCAGACAAATGAAAGTAAAGGTTTTTCTGGCAAAACTGGTTTTGGTGGCCTTTTTTGGTTTTGTGGGGTTTTGTTGGTTTGGGGGTATTTCCCCCCTGCCCTGTGCAAAATTTTCCATCAGTAAAGAGAAATTCCCAAATAGCCAAAGATTTAGTCATTAGTCAGAATCACCTAGGCTGCACATTTAAAAGGTTAAAAAGACGGAGCCTGGGTCCAGTAAGAGCTCAAATAAATTTTGCAATGAAGACAAGGTAATACATGGAACAGCTAGTGTATCAGAGTGTCACGTGTGGGAATCTACCACTGGTTATCCCTTTTTAAAAAAACAAACAAACAACAACAACAACAAAAAAACCACCCCAAAAAACCAAAACCAACTACAACAGCAACAGAACTTCTTGGGTATTTTAGTAATGCGGCTACCTGAAACTTTAGCTAAGATGACCTTCTGATATTGCAGTGGGAATATTTTATGATTTTGTCACATTTAGGAGGATGGTTTCTATTTACTTTCAAGGCTCTCTGTGCTTACTCGTGTAAAAGAATAATGTTCTTGGGATTTTAGATACTGTGAATTCTCAAATTAAGCATTCTTGTCTATCCAAATAACAAGATCCTATATGTGAATCCCCAGGAAAAGGTTTTGCGAAGTGTAAAAACGTAGTATTTATCTTTCAAAGAGTTTATTCTTTTTTTTCCAGGCATATTCTACTGTTGGAACCCCAGACTATATTGCACCAGAAGTATTTATGCAGACTGGGTACAACAAGCTGTGTGACTGGTGGTCTTTGGGAGTGATTATGTATGAAATGCTAATAGGTATGTTAAAGACCCCAACTTAAGAATCATTCAAAGGGTTCAAAGGTAACAGGGTCCGTTAGTTCACTGAGTCTGATCCCCTGCATAGTGGAGGTACCAGAATTTTATTCAGTTCTACCTGAAGTAAGCCCCAAATTCAGCTTCCAGAAAACTTTGTCCTCCCACCTTTCCAAGAAGACAGCAAGAGATGATGCCTCAGTTGTTTCAGTGAATAACTGTTCACTATTAAATGTTTTTGAGGTTCAGTCTCATTACTTGGAAGTAACAAAACACCTTTAATGTTGCATTACAAAAGAGAAAACTTTTGGCTGGTACTACTTGTTAGATTTGGGAGTCGTAGTGGCAAAAGCAGAGGCCCAGGTCACTTTCCTCTTCTGGGAAAGCTTGTTAATTTTTCTATTTGTTTGTGCAGGGTATCCACCTTTCTGCTCAGAAACGCCACAAGAGACTTACAGGAAAGTTATGAACTGGAAAGAAACATTGGTATTTCCTCCAGAAGTGCCCATTTCAGAGAAAGCAAAGGATTTAATTCTAAGGTCAGTAACAAAAGCCCATTTCTGGCCAGTCACTCAGACATAGTCGTCTTCCATTATGTTAACTTTCCATTCTGCATGAAGGAAGCTTTAGATTGGAGGGAAGGTTGGTTTCTTGTCTGTCACCATCCTTGATAGATTTTTTTTTTTTTTTTTTTAGTTTTTTTCCCTTTGCCATTTGTTTAATGTGATGAAATAAGCTATAATGATCTTGATTTGTACCATGATATCAGGAGAAACAGAATGGACTGGGAAAAAAAAGAAGAAAAAAAAAGTTAACACGTAATTTTTCTCTTCTCAGAGAGATCTAGTAAATAATCACTTGCCAGCATTTAATGTACTGAACAGAAATCATTGGATGGTTTGGATTTACTCGCTTTTTCCAAAATTTTTAATTTTAACAGTTTTTAATCCATTCAGTTTGCACTGAAGTTCTTGCGAGGGGTTTTGGTGTCAAGGTCAGGCAGAAATGCTCTCTTGCCCTGGGAGGTTTTGCCGGGGGATGTGGTTTTTGGCTTTGATTTTTAATTTATCCCCCCCCACCCCCACCCCCCCACCCCCCGAGATAATATTACAAGCTTACACAATTTTTTTACAAGCAAAAAGGGGAACGTACTTCATAGGCACAGCTAAGAACTAGAATTTATTATTAGTCCAAGCAGTGGTCCAGTAGCATCCAACAAACAGTTATTCTTAATCCAGTTACAGTGATACTAACAGTTCAAGTTATTTAATTATTGTTAATCCTCATTAATAAGTTCATGTATAACAGTTTTATTATGTTTTCAGTATCTGTTTCTCTAGCGTTCTGCTTAACCTCTCCTGCCTGTTGTCAGCATCCTGAGTTCTCTGCTGGAAAGAGTACAGTGTTGCTGCTGAGGATTTCTTCCTCCTCAGTCTTGGCTGTGTTTGGGACATGTTTAGATATTTCAGGCAGTTTATTTGTTAACATGTCTCGCTCATGAATTTACTTATACAATGACTACTTGAATTTATTAGTTTTTCTCCATACATGGAAGGATTTAAATTAGGATAAAACATCTTTAGTTACAGATCACTTACTAAAATGAGGTCATAATAGCAGGCAAAAAATACGTGGCCATTGAGTACTTTGTCCATTACAGCTTGGACAAGTTAGACAACATATATTTCAACTTAAAGAAAGTTGCCAACAAAGCTAAAGTTTCTTTATTTTTATGGATACAGTTAAAACCAAACTAAAATAAGCTCAAGTTCAGACAAAGCCTGAGACAACTGGTCTGGCTAACTCTTGTTACAAGGTTTGAGGTCTATTATTAGTACTTGGCATCAACCAACTGGCTGGGCTGCAGTAGAAATACAAGCAGGTTTTTTTCCCAAGTGACACTCAACTACAAGTAAAAGAACATTAGAGTCTATAATTGGAGACAGTTTATAGCCTAACTTGCTATGGTACTAAATTACCTGCTGAAAATTTCACTAACTAGCAAGAAGGTGACCTTTTTTGTATTGCATTGTATTGATGTGAAAAATGCCTTGTGAATCTGGATGATGTGACTGTGTAGAGAGATTATGAGTTCAGGATAACTAAATCAACAACCAGAGGCTTTGCTCATCTAGGCAAACAGGATTTCATTTAACAAAGGCCAGCTGACTTTTAGAGCAACAGGAGGCCCACATCCCCGTGCTGCCAAGTACTCCCCATTTCCAGGAGATCGTCAGGTGACTCTACACTTGGCAAGACCAAGCTTTTTGTCTGACATGGGTTTTTTCCTGTTATTGTAAACTTCCCTCTTTGTGTCACTGTTGACACCTTTTGCCATCCTCAAAGAGACTGCAAGGACAGTGTAAAAATATAAAGCAGTTATCTTTGCTAACACATACAAAAGATATCTAGGATTTAATGAACTCCTAGGCTAAGCATTGGTATGGTCATCTCCTTGATGAGATACGTCAGAGTCTTTTCAGCCAGCTAGGCACGAGTCCAGAGGAGAAGGGTCAGCCTCTGCTGCTCCCTGGAAAAAATCCCCAGTGTCACTGAGTTGCTGTCAGAGAACTTCTACCTCCCTATTTTGTTTCTTTAAGATTTTATACTTTTCCTTGTTGGTGTTTTTTTTCCTGCCTACTTGAGCAGCTAACAGTCCCCATCTCAACAATCCTGTCTTTGTCTCCAGTTTCACTTTTTTCTTCTTACTTGACTCTATGGACTTTCTCACAGGTGCTTCTCATAAATTGTCAATTTCTTCTGGAGTCTGAGCCGAGGTTATGCAGCTGGGTCATATCAGAAATAGGCCTTGAGTCTTTGTACTACCAGCACCTGAATGTCTAAGGAGAGGGAAGAGGGGGTGACAGGGAGAACAGGGACATGGCATGTTTTGAATGTGTCTAGCTTATTGTAGTTTCAAAATGTGACATCAGAGAGTAGTCCTGTTTCACTAAGTGTATTTGTTCCTGTTTGTGACTTTGAAACATGGGTTTTAAATAGTTGAGAACATGCAGAGGAGTTTTCAGTGGTAGGGACTTAAGCCTCCATTCCAAACTAATCTTACAGGGCTAAAACTTGCAGCGGCTTTTCACAAACTTTGAAGATGGCGATGCAACAGTTTAGAAAAGGTGTAAGTTACTGTCATCATGGCTTTTTGTTTTGGCACTCCAATAATATTCTGCTTCGACTTTTTCCCTTCTTTCCTAGATGCAACGGGCTGCTTGTATGTTACCCCAAGTGGTGGCACAATTTGAAAGAACTTCCTCAAATTCCCGATACAGGATACCAGAGCAGTTTTATTTGCTGTTGCTTCCATCTGCATTTATTGTAACATTCCCTTTATTTTTTCCACTTTTTCAGGTTTTGTATTGACTCAGAAAATAGAATTGGTAGTAATGGAGTAGAGGAAATAAAAAGTCATCCATTTTTTGAAGGAGTGGACTGGGGACATATCAGGTATGTATATGTGTATATATATACCCACACATTTTATAGAGAGAATAAAAGCCATGAAAGCAAGAATTTCATGTACTATGATGTCAAGGATAATTATTTCCAATTTATCTTTTATTTTGAAGGGCAGCTACTGGCAGGCAGTAGGTGGGTGACAGCGAAGGTTTCCAGGCCTTGCTGACATTCATAGATCTGATCAGAGTTTAATTGCCTTTAGATGCGTCAGATTGCCCCAGAGTGCCCAGGATGTAAAGAAATTGTCGTAGGGTGGCTGTGTTATTCCTGATGTATGGTCTGATATCAGCAGAGAGCTCCTCCTCCAGTAGTAATGGGCTCTGCAGCAATTGCTGTCATTGACTTTTTTTGTAATAGGAGCATAAGAAAAGCAAATTCTATTCCAAAAATGTAGGGAAAATAGATGAATGGAGAGGCAGCAAGTAGGAGGAAAACACAGGGCATGTCTTTACTGCATGCTGCAGATACTACACCTGAGTGAACCGGTATGTCTACAGAAGTGCTGGGCAGAGGCACTGACTCACCTCAGAGTTGCAGCCTTTGTGGCCAAATTCTGCTGGGCCAAGCCTGGGCAGAGGTCCTGGCCGAGGCAGCCGTACCAGTTCCAGCCTGAGCTTGTGCCTGCAGGTGCTGAGCTACATCTGCACGTACCCAAAGTGGTAACACCTTTAGAGCAGACTTTGGTGGCCCCACGGATATTTTCAGTTGAAATGACAGCTACTGTTCAGCTCTCTTTAAGGTTTGAGGTAGTCTCCTTTTTCAGTAATAGTGCAGTTTTCCATATGAAAATCCATACTGTGGGCGTGTGATTGTCCAGCTCTAGTAGTTCTCATTTCTTCTGGTGCAGAAAGCCTCATTTAACTTATCTTTTCGGCGTGGGAGACATTAATAAGCAGCAAGAGCAGTAACATATCTGTTCATGCCACATTTGGCAACCTGGCAAAATGGTTTCTCTGTTCCACCCAGAAGTGGATTTAATTGTAATTGTAATAATTACAACCATAGTAAGTTTACAGGTGTAAATTAATGACTTTCCCACAGGGCCGTGTTCCAGTTTGAATGCTTTCGTGGGACAGATGACTTAAGCAACTTTGAAAGCCACATTAAAACTTCTTAAAGGGCTGCCTAATTGTTGAGCTAATAAAGCAGTAACATGTCAGAGCCAGCCTATTTTGGATGAGAAATACTGGTGACTGAGTGTCAGAAATAAGAGTTAGAGTCAAAAGTATTTGGATGAGGTCTAGGCTGATGAGCACTGGAATTGTAAAGCAACATATCTGATGGCTTCAAATGCAAGTAAAATCCTGCTCTGCTGGGTAGGCTGGGTTTATGAAATGAAGGTAACCACAGTTGATCTTGGTAACAACCAAGATTGTAGTGATAGCCATGTGGCAGATAAGTGTGGAATGCTGTTTCAGTTAATGGGAAAAATTATGTTTTCCCCAAGTTTGCCAAGAAGATACTAATGCTAGATAGGAAACTAATAAATCTCCCCATGATGTCAGCAAACAGGCGAGTCCGATACATCTCTGATGGACTCGGTGGAACCTCTATGCTTTAAATTAAAGGGATGTTGTAACTGTAAAAAGCTAAGTTAAACAAAACTGGAACTTAATGTATCTTTTCCTAGTATTGACTATTCTGGCATTTATTTCTATTTGCAGGGAAAGACCAGCTGCAATCCCTATAGAAATCAAAAGTATTGATGATACTTCCAACTTTGATGAATTTCCTGAATCTGATATTTTACAGCCAGGTGAGACTGCCATTGTAAATTCCAAATTTCTATCTATGACATGTCAGAATACACCACAGATGCTTTTGTTGTTGTTTATATTCATTTTTCTGATAGCCTAATCAAGGTAATATACAGACTTGATCTAGAGAGTTTTCTTTCAGATATAAATGTAGATCTGTGATCTCTCATAGCTTCTACGTCCTTAGAACTCTGGAGGAAAAAAAAAAGCTCACAGATATTAACAGTTAAATCTATTAGTAAAAATGGTTTGCATATATAGTGAGCACAGAAAACTACAGTTTTCTACCATACAGTCTGTCTAACCAACTTCTGCTAAAACATTATGCACTGATTTGCTTTTGATCTTTAATGACTTTTGAGTTTCATGCCAAACATAATGTCCACATATTTGTGGGCAAAAACTTTCAGACAGATGATTAATTAATATAGTGATTTATGAACCAGAGTGGCTCTGCAATTCATTTAAATTTAATTGTTAATTTCTATTGGCAAGTAGTAGGAAATTTTTATACATAAAAGGCTTGATTCTCTGACATGCCAAATTCTCACAGCTCCCACTGTTTCCAGTGAATTATTAGTGTCTTAAAGATAGATATATAAAGATGATTAATTGATGACAGATAAGTGTAGATGTGCTAACAACCATAAGAATTATCAAAAAGCTGAGGATTTTTTGTGAAATGGCTTTTATTTCATGGCAAGGAAGTTTGTGCTTTTAATGCAAAAGCAATCAATCTCCAGTGCCTATGTTCAGCTGTTTAAGTCCATATTTGGATAATGGCAAGTACATTTGTATTTGTTTCGGCATTTCAGACCCACTGAAAATGTTACTGTACATCTAGATACCTAAATACAAACTTTAGTATCGGTGTGTTTGGCATCTTGAGTTGAAAATATTGTTATAGAACTCTAAGAGTAGTAACCAGAGAGCTAAATATAGAAGCCCACTGCAGTGAATGTGCAGCAAGCCAGCCATGTGGGCTGTTCATAAAATAAAAGGAGGCTGTACAAGCCTTGCTGAAGCTATGAGCAGGGAAGAAGTCCTAGGAGAGTAATATGTGCAGTTCTCTTGGGAGAACTTGGATGTATCTTTTTCTTCTGTTTGTTGTGAGGATAACACGATATGTATACATGTGTTTGTTGTGCATGGAGCATCCTAAATGTTATGTTTTTCATAATTGTATATCCTGTGGGTGTGTTAGAGGTTCCTGTCAAGGTATGGGAGTCTCTTATGGTGTGTACACAGACTAAAAAACCCCAAATCCCAAACAAATAAAAAAAATAACTTTTTACGCTTCAGAGATATATGCTGAAATTATAATTCTTCTCAGACTATTGACAAAAGGCAACTGACCTGATTAGAAACAGGATTTCTTCAAGGAATTTCTGCTGACTAGGCAAATAAGAGTTCAGGGCTGTTTATGTCAGTGCTCTGTGAACAGTCCTCTCAGAAGCAGCACTGTTTTTAATTGTTTTGTTTTGTCTTTACTTTTGTTTCTGAATTCTAGTGCCAAACACAACGGAACCTGACTACAAATCCAAAGACTGGGTTTTCCTCAATTATACCTACAAGAGGTTTGAAGGGCTCACACAGCGTGGCTCAATCCCTTCCTACATGAAAGCCGGAAAGTTGTGAAACAAAACACAAACCCGCAAAAGATATAAAAATACAAACCTCAGGTAGCTGCATCACCAGACCCGCTTGGCATTAGTTATCAATACATTGACTCTGGTGCGCATCGATTTCACAAGGAAATTCTACAGGATTAGGATTTCTAAGACTACTACAGGAATTAGTTGGCAGTGCCAGCTGGCTTTTTTTTTTTTTTTTTTAATATTTGAATATTTTTGTTAACTTTATTATACAAAGGTACTGGAATAAAAGGAACATACATCCCTTTAACTGCACTGCCTATGTGTGTATAACGGTTAATCATGCCTCTCTGTACTGTGGCTTTGTACTGTAAACCATCTAATCCACCCAGGAGTAAAACATATCATTTTATGCAGCATTGTTGTTATACTGCTTACCTGGTGGGTTTTAGATACGCAGTATAAAAACCATTGTCCGCATTTGCAAAATTCTCTGAGCAGTTGCTCAAGGGTGTTCCAGTTGTGGTGTGCAGATCCCCCATGAGTGTGGCAACATTGAATTATTTTAAATAGCAGTGTTCTGTGGGCCTACTTGTACTCTGCCTACCCTCACTTCCTCTCTGAAGGGCTTTATCGGCCAATCATCCCTTCTTCTTTTTCTTCCTTTTTCCACTGTGATCCGTTTAGTGGTATTTCTGCTTTAAATGATAATTGATGGGTATTACTGTTTAAGATGACGATGCCTATTGGCAACTTCAGAAGAAAAAAGGAATCCGATTAAAAAATATAAAGATTTTTAACTCAAGGGAAACTTTCTGATACCAAGTTTTGAAGAGATGGCAGAATTTCCAGGACTGCATTCCTGCCTCTGCTGTAAAGCAGATCATCTTTTTGCTACTCGTAATTCAAATAGCCTTTTCTGTTTCTGCAAAATGTATTCTAGAAAAGTGAACAAACTGCTGCTTTTTCTTTTTTGTCTCCCTAAGAAGTTCCAGGCAGAAGCGATCCTGATCTAGCCTTTTCTTTCCATAATACCCTGTAGCAGCCTCTGCCAAGCTAAAGGAAATGGAGCACCCCACTACATTCAGACTCTCCTGTGGGTTCCATCGTCTTCTAGTATCTCCATCTAATGGGGACCACGGGATTAAAAAGGATAAGCTGAGTCTGCAGCCCGGTTTCCAGGAACCACAAACAACCATGACTGAATTGGGCAGAGCACCTAAATGTTATTTCCCCCAGTGCAGGATGGTGACAAACAGACAGCAGAGATAGGTCTCCTTCTCCTAGGTCAAGGAAACTGAAGCAGAAATCTCTCCATATGCAGCTCAGCAGCAGTTCAGGATTGAACTGCACTCCTTGAACAGTTTGCAGTTATCTGGTCTCTGGCAAATTTATCTGTATCTCTGCCTGTACTAGCATATTATCTGCAGTACTTTGAATCTATCGCAATACAGTAGAGATCTTTGATGTAATTTTCTGGTTACAAAAGAGATTTACGGCAATGAACAATTCCCCAGTAACTGAACAAGCAGAGTCACTGTTGCTGTCTTCCTCCTCTGAATGCAAGTGAAAGGCACTCTAAAACCTCTGCAACACCCACCAGAGTGAAGCACAGGATGTTTTGGCATACAGTACGAAAAACTCCATTAGACTGGTTTTTGCAGCAAAATGGAAGTGACTATTTATAAAGCCATTACAGAAATATTTATTGCTGTTAGGCACCATGGTATCAGCTGTTCTGAATTATTTGTATGCTTTAAAAACACACTAGGGTGTTCATCTGCTGCATAAAAGACCATTTACCAGCAAGGTTTCTGGGCATTAGTGGCTTACTGATGTGCATGTAGTCTTTCCCAATCCAACAGCTACTAGGTTCTTCAGGGGCTTCAGTGATGTCTTTCCTCTAATATTTTGTCTCCCTTCAAGCATCCAATATGTGTTATTTATATTGCATTTCTACAAAAGATTTTAGTCTTCAGCTTATCAGAGGAGTAGCCAGTGCCTCAGGGCCCATCCAATTTGTACAGTGTTAGATCAGAACATGGTGAAGCTAAACTATTGCCTAAATGCCAGACTTATGTGGGAACAGCTCATTGATATCTCGTTTTTCTTCCCAGACCTTACACTAATTAACACCCCTTTACTGCCATTGGGGCAAGATCTCTCAGAAATTTGCCAGTGTTGTTCTTAGCCTTGTCAGTGTAGTGAAGCTCAACCTGTATCCATCCAAAGACTGTCCAAAAACAGCAATTCACTTAAATCCACCTTTACATTTTCAGACTTTATTCTGCCAGTGTCCTAGCAGCTTCTGAGGCTTCTCAGGAAAGGAAAATCCTTTTCTGAGGCCTTCAATCCATTCTACCAAGTCTGAGGAGCTTGGGCAGAAAATATGAGATGTGAATTTGTTCTCCAAGGACACGGCTATTCAAAAGAGAGTTTTTATTAGTTTTAATTTCCAATCTCATTCATGCAGCTCTGTGTGCACCAGAAGTGGAATTCCTGTGAACAACACATTTCAAAAGACCACAGTAACCCTAGTAACCCTATTTGCATAATATAAAAGAAGTCTTTGCTTGAACTTGCTAAGACAAGATAAGTTTCATGGAAACTGCAAATGCTCAGTAATACTGGTGATTTTTTTTTTTTCCTGTGGGATTTTGGGGGAGGGGAGATAAATACACACTTAATTTAAAGCTATCTATTAAACAACTATGTCTGTACATACTCACTGGTTTACAAACCTGGGAAAAAGCTCAACCCTTATATTTGTAACACTAAAGATAATACTCATTTAAAATTGCAAATGATTAATCATATCAGTGCTCAGATAGGAGTTATATCCATAGGGAAAGAGCCTGCAGCCTATTTAGCATAAACTCCTGTATTGTGGTAGTTGATTTTTTTTTTTTTAAACAGAGCATTATTTTAAACAGTAAGTTAAGTTAAACAAAATATTAACTACTGCTTTTAAGATGATAGAATTTTTTTAAAAGGTGAAACTGTGACACTGTAATGGACTTAAAAGAAGGTTAATTTACACTGGCTTTCAAAAAAAATGGAAGTGTAACATATCTTTTGTTTTGTTGTTTTTGTGTTATTTCTTTGGATGGTTGTGTTTTTTCCTTTGGTGATGTTTGTCACTGTGCCATTTATTTTTCTTATTCTTGGAGTACCAAAGATCCTGAAATGGCTTGATGATTGCAACCATGTGAAAACTTATTTTCTGGAAATATGTTTTGTTAACTTTTGTTTAAATGTGGAATTGCGTATGCAAATTGTTATCAGAGGTTTGCTGGGAAGTTAACCTATTCCAGCAGGGAAAACTTGAGTGCATCAATGGAAGTGGTGAGCCTGAATCCAATGTTCTGGATCTGAATACCCTGAAACTGGGGAGGAAGCTTGGATTGGGAAACGCAGCTGAGCTTTTGTACTTTGTTCCATCTCCAGTCAGCGTGAGTGAGTGGCCTTAGGTACAGGATGTCAGCAGAGGTTGTTTCTTGTGCAAAAAGAGTTAAAAAAAATTGCCAGCATTCAGAAATCAAATATTGTTGATACTGCATTTGCACTGTTAAATTTGCCTTGCTGGAGAGTTACATAAGTCTTATTTTTATAGGTCAGTTGTTAAACACCTGAGCCGTTGGATACAGTATGGAATAATAGCATCTGACGTGGGTGAATTCACCTAAGTGCAAAGGGGCTTGCTGAAAGCTCTCCACACTACTAAGATAAATGGGCGTAAGCAGTACAAAGGGTGTTGTGCCGGCTCCTAAAGAAGTGACTTTCCCCTTCTGCAAGAGCAAGTAGGGAATACTGCAGTTTGGCCCGGTTATACTCTAATGCTTAGGAAGTGCTCTCACTTTTTCAATAATACGAGCAATTACAAGCATTGTAACATACTGTACCTTGTCCTTTTAATGTTGATGTATTACAGCAGCTCGTTCTTGGAGTCAAAATGGCAACTGCTATATTTTTCCTAGACTGTTTCATTAGTTGTGGTTGGGAAGGTTACATAGAAGCATTATAAAAATTTATATGAGGCTTTTTACAGCATTTGAAAATAAAAGTAGCATTCTTTTTGTAAAGTTGCTGGTTTTATTTTTTTCACACCAGTGTACTGGATTTGTTTATCTTCCAGAATGGGAGACATCTAAGGCATTGAGATGCTATTTTGTGTATTCTCATCTTGAATTCCATGGACAGTGAAAACCCCAGTGTCACTACTCTCAATCAGAAAGTAGAGATTGCAAAAATTGCTCAACTGTACCAACTGCAGTTATGTGAAGCTACTTCTAAAATGGTTATTGCTCTTCCCAAGAGAGTGATCTTCTTCCCTGTAGACCATAATTTATTCAAGAAAGGCTTCCACAGACAGTTGTGTCCATTGATTCGCTATAGAAACAATTTTGTCCTGCTGTTCCCTGTTCCTTGCTGAGTTTAGAGCAGTGGCAGCAGATGCAGTTGTGAAATAGTCATGTAAAAAAAAATTAGTACAGAGTTGAGCAGCTGAAAGCAAAGAGGAGCTAGCAGCTGGTGACTGACCTTCTCTGGAGCCCTCCAGTGAATAACAGTCCTCCCTCCACTTGAGAATTGCTTCTTTCAGTAAATGATACAATTTTAACAGAATTTTACACAGTCTATTTAATGGGATAACACTTTTCTTCCAGTAAGCATATAATATATCTGAGTTACATATCATAAGGAAATGTAGGCTTAGTTCTTTATCTCCTTGCATTACCAAATTCAGTATTCCTCAAAAATACAGCACTTTAATGGCAAATATAAAGGCTATGCTTTCAGCATGTGCAGAAATGTTTGGATTTTTTTAAATCAACCACTTCTAGTATTATATGGTTTAGTGTTTATAAAACATACTGCAAATATCTGTTGTGCATTTTTAATTTCTTTATTCTTGTACATAAGCAAAACAATTATGCTTTGGACAATAAAAGGTTTTTTTCTGACAATCTTCCTATGGAAGAGAAGGGAGGAGTATTCAGAACAGTCTGTTGCTGTTGGGAGTGATGACAGTAGTTGTTCCCAGCTCTGGACTAGAGAAGGATGTATTTGCAGTTCAGGAAGTGCTTAGCGTACTTCTTTGAGGTAATTTTATTTATCATGCATGTAAATTTTAAATATCACAGACGTTCTGAAATGCCTACCCCATAGCTGAATTTCAATGATGAAAGCAGGTTTTACATGTGGGTACCAGTAGACTGTAACGGGTCAGCCATGCTGGGTTCAGCAGTGCTAGGCAGGCTCTGCCGCACAGAATGCCATTCTGCCTAAAAGAAGTCACTGTCCGAAAGATACCAAGTACGTTAAGCATTGGGACAGCTGAAGGGCAAGTTAACGTATATATTATACAATTAACTTATTCGCTGTCAATAGTAATGGCACTGGGATCTGTACACTTCATCACACAGGAAAACTTCTACAGTCAGTGTGAGGGGAAATGAATCTTTACACATGCAGGGAGAGTTCATCTCACCGCCTCCCACTCCTCCCACCACCGCTCTCCAGGTTGGTAGTGTGGAGGTTACTGTTCTCTGGGGAAATGGGGCATGTAGGCTTGAACCTCCTCATGCTGAGCAGGGAAATTAACCCAGGTTTCTCATTTCCCAATCAAGTCAGAGCTCTGCTAGGAACAGTTTTGTTTCTGATTTGAACTGACCTTTGATGCCACATCTTGTTTCCGTACCAGCTTGCTTTAATCTGTTTCTAGTGAGCCACCATCTGCTGCTGCTTCTCTCTCCTCTAGAAATACGTGCTCTCTGTATGTGCTGTCCCCGGGCAGTCCACCTTCAATTGGTGGCAGTTTCTTCCCCTCTAGGTGTCTCTGCCCATCTTCTCCCCTCCAAAGACAAAATCTTTGCCCTTGCCTCTATATTTCCAGCCCACGAGACTAAATGATGTTGAGAGGGCAGCTCATCAGCAGAGTTTAGTGCTGTGACCTTGAAGCTGTTGTGTAAAAGTGTAACCACAGCCTCTGCTCCACATTTTGAAAGAGCTGGCAGCTACAGATAGCAAGTGTTATATATGCACTGAGCCTATGTAACACCTTGTTTCCTTCCAGGGTTGCAGGCAGAATCTGCCCCTCAGTGTGGATGTACAGGCTGGAATACGAAGGTAATGGAGTTCCAAAAGGAAGCAGGTGCCAAGACGTTCCCCCCAGGCCAGGTCTGTGCACATGTGGCCATCCACAAAACTTTGAGAGTCGAAATAGGAGCACTGATTTGAACATATATCTCTCTTGTGTTAGGGCTTACTCAAAAACTGCAATAGCTCTGCTAGTCTTGGACACTTAATTTCCTTACAAAG